CACACACACACACACACACACAGACAGCCTCTCGACAATATGCGTTTTTGCTGGCTGTAGCAGCTGTAGCGCTGCTATAGCGCTGCACAGCAAAAACGCATAAAAATCGCTGTAAATTATGCATAAAGGCAAATGAATAATTTCCTCTGAGTGGTGGTCGTCCAATGAAAATGATCTGGTTTTTCTGGTTCCTGAGATAGCAATTCTCCCGCTAAAGTTACACATAACCGTACGTGGGAACCACGCGTACCTAGGAAGCTAGTTTGAAATCTTTAAAGCGCATATGACAGAGAACATTTTCCAAAATTCCAGCTTCCTAACCTGCCTAGCCCTTGAGTTGGCAATTTTCCTGCTAAACCTGTCACGCCTCTATGCAGAAACCATACATACCTGGGGGCTGAATTTGAAGTTTTTAGATCACATATGGACAAAGAACATCCTCCCAAAACTTCAGCTTCTCAGTTTGCTTAATTTGCGAGCTAGCAATTTTTCCGCCTGTAAAGGCGAAGTTCTCGCCTTACTTTTCCTTCTCCCAATCGAATTATAAAATATAAGATAAAACAAAACACTGAGTCATTTTTCGATGACACTCCAGTAGAACGTCGAGAATCTACATTCCCACGGACATCAGACTACCGTCAGGAATCCAAGTCTCCGTTCCTAAGCCACTTATTCGTCCGTCCCTTTTCCCATCGTAGATCAAATCTATGGCGGCCAAACCCTTCACTGTTTCCCATAGTCCTCACTCTCAGATTCCGGTGTCAGAGATTATAACTCAGGATATTGGCTGCAGGAAGAACAGTATATAAGCCCAAGGATTCGACGGTTCGAGGTCCACGTTCACGTTTAACTTGCCGTGCCGACTGAGAGCCTTCATTCAATGACTTGTCCCCGCTTCAACTGACACTGGTGATCTGTTAATTTCCCACCTCTTTCGCCTATCATTATTGTCACGTCCAAAAAACCTTATCCCATCTTAGCCTAGCCTGGCATCTTCGTCGGTCCTTTCGATCCATTGACATATACACACGGCACCAAGAAAAGGCTCACTTTTACTTGGCCAAAACTTTCACGTGCCCATGCATACGAGCCACATGTTTTGAAATTCGAAATTTTTTAAACTGCACGTAGATAGTGAGCACTCCCATAAAATTTCAGCTTTCCTAGTTCACGAGTTAGCAATTTTCCTGTCAAAGTACCATATGTTCATACGTGAGGCTCAAAAGCGCGTAAAAGTTAGTGCTGCATTCCTCGGATGGCGTTTAACCAGGAAGCCCGTTGACAAGATTTCAGCATCAAAGCCTGCCTGGCTGCCGAGTTGAATCCCCGGACAGTCGCACGTACACACACACACACACACACATACAACGAGTCGCCATGGTTTGCGTTTTGCATTAAGAAACTTATTCGACAGCATACCGGCTGCCAGTGCGAAGATGCGTTCTTTGCACAATTCCCCCGCAGGTTTTTGTCGCTAATAGCACTGGTTTTTTCTGGCAGGTGCTTCTTTTTAAGAGAATTGAAAGTGCTCATCACGCTAATAGCACTGTCTTACAATGACTCTCAACCTACGCCCGAGAAATTCAGCACTCAAGATGCTTCGTTTACGGAATTACGTTGAATTTCGCGTGTTCGTACGTCAGAGGAAACGTGGCTGTTATTTTCGCATGCTTGCTCATACACAGTCTTGGACCACGCCCAGAAAATTTCAGCACTCCAGCTGCTCTAGTTGCGAAGATACGCCAAGTTTCACGTGTTTGTACGTGGGGGCAACATGAGTACTGCCTTTGCATACGCCTGCTTAAACAGGGTTCTGGGTCACTCTCAGAAAATTTTAGCGCTTCAGCTACATTGGTTACGAAGTTACGTCAGATTTCACGTGTGTGCGCGTGAAACACGAAAAGAGCATGAGGTCAAAGAGCATGAGGCCATCTGGTCAAAGGCCGCCGTCGGTTATGCTCAGAAAGTTTTAGTCCTCTAGCTGCTTCAATTCTGAAGTTACAGAAGTGCTTGAGTGAAATTCTCGCGTGTCCGTACGTGAGATGCAGAGGAGCTGCACACAACAGTGGGCGACACTGCAAAATTACAGCTCTCTACAACTTCTTGGCCAACCTAAATTTGGAGTTGGCATACCAATTTAAACTTTGATGTGTGCGTACGTGAGACCTAACAGTGCCTAAAGGCTGAATTTGAAATCTTCGGATTAGACGCGGCCAGTGAATAATACCTCTGTGAATTTTCAGCCTCTTAGCTTGCGCCATCCCCAAAAACGCTTTTCCGCCAAAAAAGTTTCACGTGCCCGTACTTGAGAATCACGCGAGCGCGAACATCCATCTTCAGGATAAGGGCCGCACGTATGTGCAGATTAAAGTACCAAAATTTCAGTCTTGTGACTTTTGTGGATCTCGGAATGAAAACTCGTTACAGACGCACAAACACACACACACACACACACACGCACACACATACACACACGCATATACATACACACAGACAGCCCAACGACAGCATGCAAAAAACGTATAAAAATCGAAGCTGTTCGGAATCTCTTTTCTGAAGATCCGACTGAATTTCGTCGTGGGAATTTGCGCCCCACAGCACTGTAAAAGATTGATTGTTTCGCTCATCACAATGGATGATTACATGTGAAACCGAGAACCAGGAAAAGGGCTTCAAATCAGTTCTCCATTTCTTCGACTCAGCATCTAACTTTGTATTGGATTTCTCACCAAAAAACCCAGGTCTCTTGTCAGGTGCATCTGTATCATAAGTCACAATATGTTTAATATCTTTAATTGTGTATTCAATGAATCATCAGTATCGTTTATAAATACCATTACACAGTTATCCAAAATGTGTTCAAAAAGCTCAGACAATGATATTTCTGGAACTCAGTTGCCACTGTCCACGTCAGTAATACACACCGCAGCTGTTGTATAATAATTAAGGTTTTCTTGGTGTCAAATAAACACTCGTGGTGCCGGCAGGTGTTGAGCTTTTTGCTGCCCCTGCCCCCCCAGGCTGTGTGCCACCTGGCGCGAAATAAACGCTAGTTTGTCCTGCAGAAATGCCTGGACTACCGGTAGCTGCAGCGGGCTTCGAACTTTGGACGGCGCCCCCCGGCCCCTGACCGAGCATAAAATAGCTGCTGCGCGTATTTGAACCTCCTTCATAACCACCGGCAGCAGCCGATTTTGCATTTCCACCACTGGTTCCTTTCGCTTGACCTTGGGCACCACCAACCGCTGCTCCCTTCGAAGGAGTGCCAGAACTCGGTTCTGCACCTGGCATGAAATACTGGCTTCGTTCCCCTGCACCTGCACCGCTTGCTCCTGTAGAACTTTTTCCACCACCCATTCCTCCCGGGACAGCACCAGCCATGAAGTAGCTGCTCCTTTCGCCTCCTCCAGCAATTCCAGTACCGCCTGACCCGATACCCGAACTGCCCGCGCTATAATTTCCCTGTCCTGCACCCGGCATGAGATAGCAACTTCGCTGTCCAGCACCAACTGCACTGCCTACACCAGCACCAGCTGCGCCACCTTGTCCTGGACCAGTTATACCACTTTGTCCAGCACCAGCCGCACCACCTTGTCCAGCAGATTTGCCGTAACTTCCTTGCCCTGCGCCAAGCATGAAATAGCTGCTTCGCTCTCCACCACCAGCTGCACTCCCTACACCAGCACTAGCTGCTCCACCTTGTCCAGCGGATCCGCCGTATCCTCCTTGTCCTGCACCAGGCATGAGATAGCAACTACGCTGCCCAGCACCAACTGTACCACCTACACCAGCACCAGTTGCGCTGCCTTGTCCAACACCAGCCGCACCACCTTGTCCAGCACTAGCTGCACCACCTTGTCCAGCACCAGCTGCACCACCCTGCCCAGCAGATTTGCCGTAGCCTTCTTGCCCTGGGCCAAGCATGAAATAGCTGCTCCGCTCTCCACCACCAGCTGCACCCCCTACACCTGCTCCACCTTGTCCGGCGGATCCGCCATAACCTCCCTGTCCTACACCGGGCATGAGATAGCAACTACGCTGCCCAGCACCAACTGCACCGCCTACACCAGCACCAGTTGCGCTACCTTGCCCAGCACCAGCTGCTCCACCTTGCCCAGCACCAGCTGCACCACCTTGCCCAGTACCCGCTACACCACTTTGTCCAGCAGATTTGCCGTAACTTCCTTGCCCTGCGCCAAGCATGAAATAACTGCTTCGCTCTCCACCACCAGCTGCACCGCCTACACCAGCACCAGCTGCACCACCTTGCCCAGTACTTGCTACACCACCTTGTCCAGCAGGTTTGCCGTAACTTCCTTGCCCTGCGCCAAGCATGAAATAGCTGCTCCGTTCCCCAGCTCCAGCTGCACCGCCAATACCAGCACTAGCTGTGCCACTTTGCCCAGAGGATCCGCCGTAACCTCCCTGCCCTGCACCAGGCATGAGATAGCAACTGCGCTGCCCAGCACCAACTGCACCGCCTACACCAGCACCAGATGCGCCACTTTGTCCAGTACCAGCTGCACCACCTTGTCCAACACCAGCTGCACCACCTTGTCCAGCGCCAGCTGCACCACCTTGTCCAGCAGATTTGCCGTAACTTCCTTGTCCTGCGCCAAACATGAAATAGCTGCTTCGCTCTCCACCACCAGCCGCACTGCCTGCACCAGCACCAGCT